CCCTCCCTCCCTCCCTCCCTCCTTCCCACGCCCCCTCCCTCTCTCCCCAGCTCGGGCTCGCTGCGAGCGAGCGAGCGAGCGCATGCGCACGAGCCGCCCGGTCCGCCGTCCGCCGAGTGACGCTCGGAATGGACAGGACGCTGCGGCCGCGGAGAATCCGCCGCCGCTCGGCTCGGCTCCTCCGAGAAGGGCGCGCGCTCTCCTGAACGGTCGCCTCAAGGGCGAGCGTGGCGCGAGGCGAGGCGAGGCGAGGCGAGCGAGCGCTCTCCCTCCCTTCCTCCTCCTCGTCTCGAGGCCCGCCTCTCGACGGCGCCTCGTCCCGTCTCGCCGGACGCCAGTTGCGCAGCTCGACGACCGACGAGCCACAGCACTGCGCTCGCCCTCGCCCTCCGACGGCCCCTCCCCATGTCGATCACGCAGACTCACCACTTTGCCCCGCCCCGCCCTCCCTCGCCGACCTTGTTCCTGCGCACGCCGCACTCGTTGCCGACGTCGCCCTCGACCTCGACCTCCCTCGCTCGCAAATCCGACGCCGACCCGGACTCGCTCGTCGACCACCTCGTCGCTGCGCTCCTCCCCGACCGACCGCACCTCCTTCTTGCCCGACGCCGCACGCACTCTTGCTCGTACTCGCCTGCGCCGACGCCGACGCCGCCTAAAACCGCCTCTCTCGACCACCGACGACGACCCGCCGCACGCTCGCCCTCGCCCTCGCCCGCTCCCCCGACCGGCACGACGACGCCAACGACAGCCACCGACGGTCCCTCGCTCGTGAGCGACACCACCCCCGCGCCCTCTGCGCCCTCGACGCCCTTCCTCGCCACCTCCACCTCCTCCTCGTCGCGCCCCACCCCTTCCTCCTCCGCCAACGCGGCGACCTCGCCCGCCGCCGCAGCACCGTCCTCGGCCTTTGCCGCCGCCTCGACGAGCGGCACGGTCCACCCGCTCACGCTGCACGCCATCGCGCGACGCGGCTCGGAGCGCGACGCCGTCAGGGTCGTCGAGGAGCGGCGCGAGACGGAGCGCAGGCGCGACGAGGGCGCGGGGGCGCGGGTGGGAGTGGCGGTGGGCGAGGGGAGCGGGAGCGGGAGCAGGGCGTGGACGGCGCGCGTCATGGAGGAGGCGGCGGGAGGAGGAGCGTGGAGCGAGAGCCCGCCGCAGCTGAGCGACCGCGAGGACGGGCCGGCCTCGAGCCACCGCGCCGGCGCCGGCGCCGGTCTCGGCCGCCCGCCACCCACCTCGACCACCACGCGCCCCGGCGGCGCCGCGCAGCAGCAGCAGCAGCCGCCGCCGCTCCACGCGCGCGGCATCTCGAGCGCGTCGTCGGCGCTCAGCTCTGACACGGCCGCCTCGGGCTCGGGCCGGCGCAAGAAGGCCGGCGGCGGCGGTGGGGCGTTCAGGAGGCTGTTCTCGTCGCGCGGCGGCGCGAGGGGCGGCGCGAGCGAGGTTGAGCCGGTGCGTGAGCAGGAGCGGGCGCAGGAGCGGGAGCGGGAGCAGGGTGCGCTGTCCAGGGCGAGCCCGCGCGACGAGGAGCACGGCGGGCGCACGCCGCAGAGCGGCGGGGGCGCGAGCGGCGGGGCGAGCTTGCACAGCGGGAACGCGGGCGGGCCCGCTCGGCTTGAACTCGGCGGCGGCGGCGGCGAGGGCGTCAGGGAGACGGTCGTCGACAAGGGCGTCAAGATCTCGAGGCCAAAGGTGCGTCGGCTGCTCCCTCCAGGACTCGAGCCTCGTCGACTTGCGCCCGTTCTTCGACTGACTCGTTCGTCTATGTCGGTGACCGACGCAGGTCAAGGCCAAGGGCAAGTCGCACAAGGATTTTTCACACCTGTTCCTCGCGCAAGAGCTCGTCATCTCGTCGCCGGGCTCGCCCTCGCCCTCGTCCCCCTCGTCCGACCCGCCCGTCGACCCGTCGTCGCCCCAGCCCGAGGACAACGCGTCGCAGAAATCGCACGCCAAGAGCAACTCGGGCGCCGCAGGTGCGGCGGCGGACGAGGGCGCGGGCGCCAAGAAGCGCAGGGCGGTTTGGGCGATCAAGTTCAGCGAGGACGGCAAGTACCTCGCTGTCGGCGGCAAGGACGGCGTCGTACGAGGTGCGTCCCGCTCTCTCTCACTCTCTTTCTCTCCTCTTGAGTCAAGGACGCAGCCACTGACTCTTTGATCGCCGCAGTCTGGGAGGTCCTCTCGACGCCCGAGGCCCGCGAGGCCGTCCTCGACCCTTCCTCGGTTCCCGACCGCGCCTTCTCGCCCTCGCCCGACTCGCCCTCGCCCTCAAGCGCACGCCCAGGTCCAACGCCCTCGAACGGCAAGTGCAAGAAGGCCAAGGAGGCGCCGTTCGCCATGCCCGTCTTTGCGAGCAGGCCCGTGCACGAGTTCAAGGGTCACGAGGCCGACGTCCTCGACCTCAGCTGGAGCAAGGTGAGCCCTCGCTCCCTCTCTGCGCCCTTCCCACACCCCTCCTGAGTAGGACCCGACCCCTGACCTCGGCCTGTCGTTCGCGCGCAGAACAACTTTCTCCTGTCGTCCTCGATGGACAAGACGGTGCGCCTGTGGCACGTGTCGCGCGACGAGTGCCTGTGCGCGTTCCAGCACCTCGACTTTGTGACGAGCATCGCGTTCCACCCCAAGGACGACCGCTTCTTCCTGTCGGGCTCGCTCGACTGCAAGTTGCGCCTGTGGAACGTGAGTCGCCCGCTCTCTCTCTCGCCCGTCCTCTCTCCTTTCCTTCGCGACACTCGTACTGACGTTGCGCTGCCTCCCTTGCCTTGCAGATCCCCGAGAAGCGCGTGCACGTGCGTCCCGAGCCGGCTCCGTCTGCGCCTTCCTCGATCCGTCCTAACCCTCACCGTCGCCGACGTCCTGCAGATCTGGACCGAGCTCCCCGAGCTCATCACGGCCGTCTCGTTCACTCGCGACGGCAAGCTCGCCATCGCCGGGTCCTTCGTCGGCGCCGTCGTGCGTCTCCTCCTCTGCCCCTCGTCTCCCTCTCGAGGACGCCGGACTGACCTTCTCTCTCGCGCGCCGGCAGATGTTCTTCTTCGTCGAGACGTTCCAGTACCACTCGCAGGTGGCGGCCAAGACGTCGCGCAGCAAGAGCTCCAAGGGCAAGAAGGTGACGTCGCTCGCGCCGTTCCCGCTCCCGTCGAGCACGGGCGAGCGCCTCCTCGTCACGACCAACGACTCGCGCCTGCGCCTGTACCACACGGCCGACAAGATTGTCGAGACGACGTACGCCGGGCACGAGAACGCGAGCTCGCAGATCCGGGCGAGCTTCAGCGACGACGGGAGGTGGATCGTCTCGGGCTCCGAGGACCGCAACGTCTACAGTGCGCCCGCCTCTCTCTCTCTCTCTGCCTCCTCAATCGTTCTGTAACTGACTCACGACCGGTCCATGTGCGCAGTCTGGGACTCTGGGCTCGACCCTCGGCCCGACGGCGGGTACCACCTGCGCAAGCGCGGCAAGGAGAGCCCGCACGAGCACTTTCCGAGTGCGTCCTCCTCTCTCGTCCCTCCTTTGTGCACCGGCTCACGCCTCGACACCCGCAGTGCCCGCTCACATCGTCACGGCCGCCGTCTTTGCGCCGACCTCGACCCGCACGCACCTCACCGCCGCGCGCGACCCCGTCTTTGCCGACGGCCACACGCACATGGCGCCCCTGTCGCGCACCATGAGCGGCGCGAGTCTCGGCCTCGTCGGCACCACGACGAGGAACACGACGTTCAGCGACGGCGGGCTCGGCGGCGCCGACGTGCTCGTGCCCGTCACGAGCCGGGACGGCATGACGGCGCCGGCCGGAGGAGCGCTCGACGCCATCCTCGTCGTCGCAGACGGTGCGTCCCTGCTTTCATCTCTCTTGGTCGTCGTAATGTCGTCGTCGCGGAAACTGACTCGTCGTCCGCGCGCGCAGACGAGACGGGCGTCATCTCGATCTTCCGCAACTCGGAGCTCATGCGCAAGCGGTCGTCGATGTGGGGCCGCACCAAGACCGTCCCTGCGCGTTGAAGCTCTCTCCCCCCCGCCTCTGTATACCCGCCCCTCGGTCGCTGTCCATACCCTTAGTCGCCCTCGACCCTCCCCTGCGTCGTCGACCTCGGCGGCGGTCCTCACTTGTCCCTCGTCTAGCTTTGCCTTGTCCCTCTCCTCCCCGTGTATCGACGAGTGTGCGCTCTGCAACGACGATGCTTGCGCTTTGAGAGAACCTGTTGTCCGCTCGACGTGCTCGCCCACGTCGTCGGCGGCTGAGAAGGCCAGGAGGAGGGGCGAGCGCCCGCAGCTGCAGTCTTTGCTTTCCGCACCCACGACCGTCGAGTATCGTCGAGATGATGCACGCTGGCCAGCTCTGCGCACCTGTGAGCATTGTGCGCGTCGAGAGGTGGAGAGGCCGCAGCTCGCTCGACGTAGTCGGCTTGCCGTCAGTCTCGATCGAAATCTCCGCTCGGGCCTCCCCCCTCGTTTCCCTCGTCCTCCCTCGCGCTTCGTCTTGCACAGACTTGCTTTCAGTCAGCCTCGTCGACGTGGCACAGCTGCGTGCCGGGGCGTGTCTGCCTTGCCGACGGCAAGTCGAGGGTGGTCCCCCGACGTCAGCTGCTGCGGCTCCCTTAGCTTCCGGGCCCCGCGCTCTCCCACCGCGAAGACCAGGAGGCGCGATGAGCACCCTTCTTCCTCAACGGCTCGCGCACTTGCTTCGCAGCGCCTGCTTTCTCGATGATGCGACGAGAGCCTCGCTGCTCTGCCGCGCTGCCCCTCGCTCTCGCTCTCTCTCTGCACCCGAGCGCTGCCGCCGACACAAGATGCACCGCACCTCGTTCGTGTCCCGCTCGACGCTCTTCGCGCTCGCATTCGCGATCATCGCCTTGCTCGGGCTCGCGGCGAGCCCTGCGCAAGCGCAGGAGACGACCCTGACGCAGGAGGACAAGTGCGCCCTCGCTCTCTGTCTCCTCTCGCACACTCTCAGCATCTGTACTGATCCTCCCTCGAGCGTTCGCAGCGGCCAAGTCGTCACGACAAGCATCCAGCCAAGTGCGTCCTGTCGCGTCGCCCTAGCCCGAGGTCGCTTCGAGAAAGAAGGACCCAGCCACCGTGCGCCCCCGCTGACCTCCGGACTCGGCTCGCAGCGCTTTGGACGACGGACTCCCAGGTAATGACGTGGACGCCAAGCACGCCTGCGACGCCCACGCCGAGGTTTTCGACGGGCAGGATCCTCAAAGTCGCAGAATGTGCGTCGTCCTCGCCGCCGCTCAGCCTCTCGCACTCGTTCCCTGACCGTTCCCTCTCGCTCGCAGACATCACGACGCAGTCGACGGGCACGGTGGGAATGGACCCGACGGGCCTGCCGCCGATCAAGGCAGCGTATGCGGCGTCGGGAGGAGGACCGTGCGTCCAGCTCGGCTCGGCTGCAGCAGTCGCGGTCGCGATGGGAGCGAGCGGTGCCCTGTGGGTCTTGTTCTGATCCGCGTGTAGCGACCCTGTTTATAGAGAACAAGCCGGCTGGCCGGCCCCAACCCTCTTGAGTCGGGTGCGAGCCAGAGTCGACCTTCTCGTTGACGGGCGACGAACGCTCGCAAAGGGCAGCACTCTCGAGAGAACAGAGAGCGCACAGAGACACTGATGCAGAGACAGTACAACACAGTGACGCGAGGAAAGGGTGCGACTCATGCGCTCCACCGCGCCCCGGCCCCGACGTCCTGCCCGACCCGCTCCAGGCACGCCAAGACGAGCCCGACGACGTCCATGTCGTGGCTCTCGTCGTCCGCGCGACGCGCACGCCCGACGAAGCCGACCTCGAAGCCCGCCGGCAGGCCGTCAAACTTGGGCTCGCCCGTCTCGTGGTCAAAGTCGACGAGTCGCCGGTGCGGAACGTAGGCGGCGGTGACCGACGGCGCGAGGTTCGAGAGGCGGAGGATGTCGGTCAGGAGCGGGTACAGCTCGTAGAGGTGCGCTTGAGGAGACCGGAGGAGGGCGGAGCGGACGAGGTCGGGCAAGGGGAGGGAGGCGTCGATGGGGAAGGGGGACGCGATCGCCTCGGTCGGCGAGGCCTGCGAGGCGGCCCACAGCGTGTTGGGCGCAAGTTGGAGGGCGAGGAGCTGTTGCAGGAGGTACACGAGCTCTTCTTGCCGAATCCTGCGAGGCCGAACGAGTTAGTGAGTGCGCGCGACGAGGCCCGAGCGGCGCGGTCGGCAGGGACGAACCGAGGGAAGGGCATCTTGCCGCGCAGGACGGCATCGGCGACGTAGGTGCGGAAAACGGCGGCGCAGCGGTTGAGGAGCGCCGGCACGACGAGCGCGGCGATGCGCTGGCGGTCGGGAGACGCTGCGGGAGGACGCTCGTCAGTTGCGCCGGGTGGGAGGGCCGAGATGGACACGTTGCTGCTCACCCTGCTCGCTGCCGTCGCACATGTGGAACAGCAGGTCGAGGCACCAGTACGAGAACCGCTCTCGCGCCGTCTCGACGACCTCGACCGTCGTGCCCTGCATCTCGCCGACGACCTGCCGGTCAAAGTCCGGGTCGAAGCGGGGCTCGGGCGGCGTTGGCGGCGGCGTGTCGTACGGGTGACCGTTCTGCTGTCGGTGCGACTGCTCGGGCGTCGGCAGGTCGAGGTGGTGCAGGCGGGACGCCTGTTGGAGCGTCTTGCCGAGCTGGCGAATGAGGGCGTCGGGAACGAGCGACGAGCCGAGGTGCGGCAGGACGTCGCGCTCGAGCGAGACTGTGAGAGGTTCTTCATGTCAGTACTCGGACCGCCGAGGACGAGGGTGGAAAGGAGGGACGGACTGAGCAGGGCGAGGTCAAAGTTCTCCTCCTCGTACAGGTCCTCGAGCGACCGTGTTGCCGACGAGCTGCACGTCGAGGCGTCAGGTCACGTTTGCTCTTGAAGAGAAAGAGAGAGAGGTGCGCACCTTGGAGCGAGAAGAGCGCCAGCAAAGCCCTCGACGATCTCGGTCCAGATCGCCTCGTGCGTCTCGCGAGCGAGTTCTGCGTCGCGTCGAGCAGTCAGTCTCAGTCCGCAAAGGCTCCTCAGGAGAGAAGAGAGAGTGGAAGAGGAGGACGCACGAGGTTCGAGGGTGCGCAGGCCCGAGCTGACGTCGCGCACGGCCTTGAGGAAGTTGACGGTCGCCGTCCTCCACAGGGGCTCTGCCGAGCCGAAGCGGGCCGGCGCCGGGCAAGAGTGCTTGAGGCGAAGCGGGGGGGCGTACGCCTGGGTGCGCGCAAGGCGTCAGTCGAGGGTGAACGAGTTGGAAAGAGGAAGGGGTGCGAGCGCACCTGGAGCATCTTGCCGACGGCGCCTTGGTCGTATACGAGCGGATCGTCGGCGTACTTGCGGTACAGCCACTGGACGTGCGGCATGACCTCCTTGGCGAGCGCGACGTACGTGACCTGCTGCGGCGCAAAGGTGCGGCCTGCGGCAGAAGGCGCCGCCGCCTTCTCGAACGGCGAGGTGAAGGCGAGCATGAGGAACTCGGACAGGTCCGACAGGACGGCCGACGTCGCGCCCGGGATCTCGTCGAGCTTGATGACGGCGATGACCTCGAGGACGACCGACTGGAGGGGCATGAGGCCGTCGACGTCGGGCCGGTAGTCGGGGCTCTTGGAGTACGTCAGGACGGCCTTGAGGACGGCGAGGAGCCGCTCGACGCGCGCGAGGTCGAACGAGATGTAGGGCGGCGTGTAGATGGGCAACACGGTGCGGACGAACGCCTCGAGGTTGACCTGCGTGAAGATCTTGGGCGCCGCTGGGTCGGCCTCGTCGTCGGTCGTCGTGCTCGCTCGCGCGTTGTCCTCGACCGCGGCGCCGATCTCGTCCCACGCCGCCCAGGCCACCTCCCATGACGAGGCGATGCGCGACGCGTCCGACATGTCGAGCGAGACGGTGAGGACCTTGTCGAGCGCCTGCATGGCGGCCGTCGCCGGGTGCGGCCGGTCGAGCACAAAGCTGCGCTGGACCTGGCTGACGAACGCGCGCCAGATGTCCTCGTACCGGTCCGTCTTGACGAGCTGCGGCAGGTACTCGAAGAAGACGTCGCCGACCGAGCGCAGCGCGAGCTGCTTCGAGTCGTCCCACTGCTTGTCGACGAGGCGGATCGGCGGGCCGTTGGCCTGCGGGACCGTCTCCTCGCCGAGCTCGTCGTCGTCGTCGGGCCTGCCGACGTTGTGCTGGTGGATCGACGCCGAGATGTCCTCGACGAGCGGGAAGATGACCTCCCAGCAGACGGCGTCCCAGGTCGACGCGTCGAGCGTCGTGCCGTACATGGCGATCGAGCGAAACACGTTGCTGATGGCGGCGTCGCGCACCTCCTGGCGCGAGTCGCGGCACAGGGCGAGCAGGTTCTGGAGAAGGTACATCCACAGGTCGCCGCCGCCTTGAGCCGCCTCGCCGTCGCCCGACTGGTTCTTGGCCTGGACGTGGTCCGACACGTTCCACAGGAGGCCGCCGGCCTGCGCGAGAGGGACAGGAAGGTGCAAGAGTCAGTGCGAGGTCTGGACGCGAGCGCGCGAGAGGGAGAGAGAGAGGGAGGGAGCGGGGGGACGCACCGTGAGCGCAACATTGACGTCCTCGCCCTGCTTGCCGAACTCGGCGAGCGTGCCGATGCAGTCGCGGATCTCGTCGTTGCTGAGCGGGTCGAGGAAGTCGGTGCAGATGAGCTGCAGCGACGGGAAGCTCGTGCGGACGAGTACGCCCGTCTTGGCGCCCCTCGCCGACGCCGCCGAGGTGCCGCCAGCGCCGCCGCCGCCGCTCGAATCGCGCGCAAAGTACCCTGCGCCGTCGGCGCGGAGCGGCGTCATCATGCCGCCGTGCCCGAGGCCGTCGTGCTCGGAGATGGTGTCGAGCGATCGACGCGAGGCGGCGCCGCCTGCGGACGGGACGGGCGACGGCGGGGCGGCCCAGACCGACGCCGACGGGCATGCCGTGCGCAGGACGTGGAAGATGCGGTCCCACCCGGTGACGAACGCGTGGCCGTTGCTCTCGAGGATCTTGCGGAGCGTCTCGAGCGCCATGCGGCGGATGTCGACGTCGGTCGACGACTGGAGGCGTGGGCCGGGCTCGGCCTGCGCTGCGAGCGCGACGAGGACCTGGGTCTGGACGCGCTCGGCGAGGTCGACGTCCGACTCCTTGCCGAGCGACGCGAGCGTCTTGGGCGCGAGGACGAGGAGCTGACCGAGGACGTCGGCGGCCTGGATGCGGATCGGCGTCGGCGCGAGCGTGCAGTGCAGGACGTGGAGGAGGTGGCCCGTGACGAGGTCCCAGCCGACGCTCGGCGGCCGCTCGATGAGGCGCGCCATGTTGAGGAGCGACACGGTGCCGACCTTGCCGATGCCGAACGACTTCTCCTGCAGGCCGCTGCCGCCGCCTCGCCGGCCGAAGCTCATGCCGCTCGAGCGGCGCCGAGTCGGCGTGTCGAGCGCCGACGGCGTCGTCGTGCCGCCGTCGTCCGAGCCGTGGTCGTCGCCCGCCGCCGCCGAGGGCTGCTGGACGACCGTGCCGTCCTCGTTCATCGACAGGCCGATCATCTCGCCGCTGAGCCGGCACAGGGCGCCGACAAAGCTGCGGAACGCGCCGTCCTCGAGCTCCTTGCTGACGTCGAACAGCTCGGCGATGGCCTGCTGGATCGCGAGCTCGTCCGCCTCGCTCGGGAGGACCGGCACGGGCGGCGCCTCGCCACCGGGTCTTGCGCTGCCGCCGCTCGACGCCGCGCCCGACGCGCCTCCTGCGAGCGAGCCCGCCAGCGGCGCCGCCGACCCTGCGCCGGCTGCTCCCGCCGGCGCCACCGCCGGTGCGCGCTTCTTGGTCCCCCTCGCGGCGCTCGTCGCGCGCAGGACAAAGTCGGCGTTCTGGAGCGTCTCGAAGACGCAGAACCACGACGCGTGGAGCGACCCGGCGAGGTAGTGGGCGACGCCGATGAGCGCACGCAGGCACGCGAGGTTGCGCGACGAGAGGCCGACGGGGAGCGACGACGACGACGACGACGACAGGCCGGCGGTGGCGGCGCCTGCTGCGTGCGCGAGGAGCGCGAGCGACTCGGCACCGGCCGACAGGACAGCGGCGGCGGTCGACGAGGGCTTGGAGCCGTGCGACGACGACGTGTGGTGCGAGTGGTGGTGGTGCGGGTCGTGCGCCGACGAGGCGAGGTGCGAGACGACCTGGGGCGGCATGGCAAACTTGCACAGCGACGTGAGGAACGCCTCGCGGGGCGTCTCGAGGTCGAGCGCGCCGAGGACGCTCGTGAAGTTCTGGAGCGACGCGACGACGTCGCTGAACAGGTCGTCGCCGAGGGCGGTCGCGATGAAGAACGACAGGGACGCGAGGAACGCGGGCCAGGTCGACTCGGCCATGGCGCGCACGACTCGCAGCGACTCGACCTGCGGGTCGCGCGCCGCGTCGGCGTTGGCGTCGAGCGCGGCCCAGTTGAGCCCGCCCGCCGTCGCCGTCGACGGCCCGGCGCTCGACAGGCCGTACCGCCTCGCGACGTCGGCGCTCGCGCTCAGGGTGAAGACGGCGAACCCGTCTGCGAGGGCGGCGAGGCACTGGAGCGCGAGCAGGAACAGGTACGTGTCGGGGATGTGGGGCGGCTCGGCCTTGTCGAGCTGGTCGATGCACTGGAGCTTCATGGCGGCCGTCGACGTGCTCAGGCTCGGCTGCGGCGCGACGACGCCTCCTGCGGCGCCGACTGCCCCGGCGGCGGCGGCGACCGACGACCCGACCACGGATCCGACGCCCGCAGCGACGCCCCAGCCCATCTCCATCGCGCTGTCGATGACGCCGCCCGCACCGCCGCCGCCCGCACCATGCGAGGCCGCCGCCGCCGCCGACAACGACGACGACGAGGAAAAGACGGGCCCGAGCGACGAGCCGTACACGACGGCGGCGCCGACGCCGAGCGCCGAGGGCTTCTCGGTCGCGAGCCGGTTGAGCGCCGTCATCATGTCGCCGAACACGGTCGACCCGCCTGCTCCTCCTCGCAGCGCCCTGCCCTTGCCCTTGGCCCGCCCGCCGCCCTGCGCGCCGCCCTGCGTGCCGCCGCCGCCGGGTCCTTCGAGCTCGAGCAGCGCCTGGGCGTCGTACCGCCGAAAGACCTTGACCGTGAGCTCAAAGTCGGCACACAGGCCGCGAAAGATCTCGAGCGCGAGGACCCGCATCCACAGCGGGCTGTGCTGCCCCTGCGAGCCCGTCGGGTGGCCCCCGACGCCCTCTCCCCAGCCCGCACCGCCGCCGCCGCCGCCTCCTCCTCCTCCTCCACCGCCGCCGCCGGTCCCGCTCCCGCTCGCGCCGCCCGGGTCGCCCGGCGCGATGACGCGGACAAACATGACGAGGAAGACCTCGGCCTCGAGGGTCAAGAGGTCGGAAAAGTGCTTGAGGAGGAGGAAGACGACGCGCGTGAGGCGCAGCGTGAGCGGGAACGAGAAGGCGAACGAGGTCGACGACGAGAGGGTGTGGTGCGGCGGCGACGAGAGGAACCGGATGAGGAGCGGGCACAGGTGCGCGCGCAGGACGAGGAGGAGCTCGGGGTGCTGCGGGGCGGGGCGGGGCACACAAAGTCAGCGACCGTCTGGGCCACAAAGAGAGAGAACGAGAGGGAGAGGGGGAGAAAACACAAACGCACCGCCCGAACAACGTCGCCAAAGCCACTGACGATGCTCTCGACGAGCTCGAGCCCAAACGTCCTGCTCAGGCTACCCCACCGCAGGAAGCTCGGCTCGCCGTCGGGCCCGCCGTCGACCGACCCGGCGATGAGCAGGCACAGGTCCTCGAGGAGGAGGTACGCGTCGCGCGCGGCGGGCCGCAGCCGGATCGAGGTCGCGCCGCCGCCGCCGCCGGGTCGCTCGCCATCGGGGTCGGCGTCGGCGCCGGGCGCCCGAGCAAGTCGGGTTGGCGACACGGTGATGGGCGAGCCGGGCAAGTCGGGCGTCGGCGGCGCGTCGCCCTCGACGTACCGTGCCCTGCGCGGCGCCGGGCTCGTCCCGACGACGCTGAGCGCCGCGGCGCGGTCCTCCTCCCTCGGCGGCACGTCGACGTCGAACGTTGCCCTCGGGAGGGTCGGGTCCGAGTGTGGGTCGCTCGACGCGGCGACGAGGTCGTCCTCGTCCTGGACGCGCTCAAAGACAAACATGAAGAGCTGGCGGAGCGTGGCCGAGGCGGTCGAGGCGACGACGGGGATCTTGGACGTCGAGAGGCGGTGCGAGAGCTCGAGGGCCTGCGTGCGGGTGGCGAGCCGAGCGAGTCAGTCGAGGGGCGCAGGCAGGGGAAAGAGAGGGAGCGGAAGGGAGGGGACGCACCCGCCCGAGGTCTTCTCCCTGGACGATGCGGACCGTGCGGCCGGGCGCGCCTCCCGGCGCAGGGGCGCTCGTCGTGAGGAGGCTGACGAGCGTCTGGAGGACCTTGAGCTGGATGTCGACGCCCTGCGGGATGACGTGCTCGAGCGTGTCGAGGACCTGCGAGACGAAGGCTCGGGGGACGGCGGCGCCCTGGATGAGGCGCTGGAGGGCCGAGACGGCGAGGGCGATGACCTTGGCGTTGCGCGAGGTGGACGCGAGAAAGATGGGCTGGTACAGCGGGTGCTGCGCGAGCGGCGGGTCTGCGTGCGAGGGGCGCTCCGCTCAGTGAGTCGATGAGGACGAGGAGGAGGAGGGAGGAGACAAGGGGACGCACCTGCCCTCAATTCTGCGAGCGCGTCGTCCTTGCCCGCCTTGATGAGCTGGTACGCCTTGTCTGCCGCCTGCGGGTGCGAGTGCGAGTACGCGAGGGGGGGCGGGGGGTGAGCCGGGGTTGAGCGACGGGCGCCGCGCTCGAGAGGAGCGGGGAGAGAGAGGGGGAGGTGGGACGCACATCTCGCACGTCGGAGTGCCTCCTGCCAGCCTCCTTTGCGAGGCTCTGATAGTCGTGCGCGAGGAGCGAGGTGGCCATGGCCGACTCGAAGGTGGGGAGGACCGCGGGTGCTCGAGGATGAGCTGGTGGGCAGGGCCGGTGGCTCTGCAGCAGTGTGGGTGCAGTGATGGATCGAGTACGGCTCTCGAGTGGCCGGCTTTGGCTGAGCGTGCCGAGAGTCGCTCGTCGTCGTCGTCGTCGCTCCGGAGGTCCGCCTCTGAGACGCTCTCTCCCGCCCCGAGCACCAGCTCTGCACAGTGCTGCACAGGCTCAGCCATCCACTGGCCCACACACGGCCACGCACCACGCTCCACTCGCGCAACTGCTGCCCCGCGACGGTGCCACGTCGTCCTCGCCCCTCGTCCTCATCTCGCTCCGAGCGGCTCCCTCTCTTGCTCTCGCACCGTACCCCTGCTTCCCTCAAGCACAGCTGTCCTACGCCCCTGCGCCATGGTCGGCACCCGCTCTCAGCGCGTCCCTCGTGCGTCCCCTCCTCGCCACCCTTCTTCGCCCTTCCCTCCCTCGACGCAACCCCTTTGACGAGCTGACTCTCCCGCAACCCTGCTCTGCAGTCTCGTCCCTCACGGCCCTCACCCTCCGCAAAGACCGCCTCACCGCCTCTCGCCGCACCGCCCCGGTCCCCCAACTCGCGTGCCGCGGTTCGCCCTGCGCCACGTACCAGCCCGCCGTCGTCCAGTGCGTCGCCGTCGGCTCGTCCGGCGCCGGTGGTGCGGGCGTCGAGTGGAAGTGCGACGCCGACCTGCCGCGCGGGGTGCGGTTTGGGAGCGTCGAGGTCGGGTGCGAGGGGTGGGACGGGCCGGGCGACGAGTGGGTCCTGAGAGGGTCGTGCGGGCTCGAGTACGAGCTCGTGAGGGCTGCGCCCGCGCTCGAGGACGACTATGGCTACGCTGGCGGCCACGGCGCGCGCGGTGGGTACGCGCAGGGGCTCGTTCCGCCGTCGCTCAAGGGCTACTTCCCACGCTCGACCGGCGCGCTCTTCAACTGTGCGTCCCTCTGTCTCTCTCTTCTTCTCCTCTCCGGGGCCCCCCGCACTGACACACCCACCCGCATTCCCCCACAACCAGCCGCCTTCAACCTCGTCTTTGCCGCGCTGACGGCCTACCTCGCCCTGTCCCTCGTCGCCAAACTCTTCCGCCGCTTCTTCCCCTCGCGCCGTCCGGGCGCAGGAGGGCGCACGCTCGGCGGCGGCGGCGGCGGTGGCGGCGGCGGTGGTGGCGGGCCCTCTCACGGCGGCCCTCCCCCGCCGTACACGCCGAAACCGCAACCTCTTGCGCCGCCCGGCGGCGACGGCGGCGCGGCGTGGCGCCCCGGGTTCTGGACGGGCGCGGCAGCAGGGTGGGCGGTCAATGCCCTGCTCGGTGCGGCGCGGCCGAGGGAGAGGGAGAGGGTGCAGCCGCTCGACTATGCGGCGGCGTTCGGCGAGGGGCGGGACGTGAGGATGGCGCAGAGGAGGGGGTGGGGTGGCGGTGGCGGCGGCGCGTTTGGGGCGAGGAGGTTCGACGACGACGACAGGGGCGTGGGTGGGAGCGGGGGCGGCGGCGGGATGAGGCGGAGCACTGGGTTCGGCGGGACGTCGGTGAGGTGAGGCGAGGCGGTTCGTGCGCCGGGGCGCGAGTCTCGCTCTCGCTTCTCTGCAACGCAGCAGCCCTCTCTCTACGAGCCTGTCCGTGCTGTCGAGCTCGAGAGCGTCCTGCTTGCACGTTTGAGAGGTACGCTCGCGCCCCCGGGCCGCGAGGTTCGACGCACACGCCTCGTCGCGCTTCCCCGCCTTTTCTCGCGCCGCGCCTCGTCTCCCTCCTCCTCCATCCTCTCTCTCGCCCACCACAGCGACTCGGAGCGCATGCCCGCAGCGCCGCACTCCTTGTGCACGCCCTCGCCGCCGACCTTCAAGCGCCCACAGCCGCTCGCCCAGCGCCACCGCAAGCGGCGGCCCGCGCCGTCGCCACCGCCGGACCTCACCCAGTGGCGCCTCGTCAACTCGGCGGTGGGCGTGAACGGGGACGCAGGGGCGCCTGAGGGGCAGGGCGGGGCGCACGAGGGGCTAGAGGAGGCGGGAGGAGCGGCGGCGGGCGCGGGCGAGGCGAGCGCGAGGCGGCCGGGCGTGCACCCTGCTGTCGGGGCGGCGTGGGACGCGCCGGTCCTGTGGGACGAGCATGATGGCGGTGTGGGCGAGGAGGCGCAGGCCGGTGTCGACGCACGGCACGACGACGAGCCGCTGTCGACGTTGTCGCCGCTCACGCGCTCGACTTGCACGGCCTCGTCGCTGCACGCCTCGCGCCGCCGCCTCTCTGCCTCGGCCGAGTACGACGAGAACCGCGGGCTTGGGCGCTGCGGCGGGTCGGAACCGGACGACGCCGACGACGACGACCTCCCGCCCTCGCTCGACGAGCTGTACGCTCGCGTCCTCCCCAAGACGCGCCGCGCCCTCGACCGCATCCGCCAGTCCACCAAGCGCCGCTCAACGTCGATCTCGCGCCACCGCGACGACCACGACGACGCCGAGCCCGACGCTGCGCCGCCAAAGCGCAAGAAGCGCCGCATGCCGCCCACGCCGCCCGACTCGGACGCCACGGCGTCCTCGTGGGAGGAGCACGACCTCACCCCTCCCGACCGCACCGTCCCGCTCAAGTACCCGCTCTCGCGTCACGCCACCCAGTCGCTCCCGCTCCGCCACCACCTCCCCTACCTCGGGCCCGACTTTCTCGGCGCAGACGACCTCGACGCCCTGTCGCCCCACGCGCGCACGAGGCTCCTCCGCCAGCCGTTCGCGCCCCGCCTCAGCTTCGGCTCGGGCTCGTCGCCCTCGCCGAGCGTCGAGCTACGCGCGAGCCGCCGCCGGCGCGGGCGCAGCGTCGGGCGCTCGGGCCTGCTCGCCCTCGGCGCCGACAGCGACGACATGAGCCCCGGCGGCGGCGGCGGCGGCGAGGGCCCGCCGCGGCTCGCGGCGGGCCAGGCGGCCAAGGGCGTCTTCCTCGAGGCCGTCGCGCAGACGGGCTTCTATGCGGGCGCCGCACCGGGACCGGCGCCGCGCGAGGTCGAGGCGCAGCGGCGCCGGGGGCCCAGAGCGCCCGGCCCTCAGCCTCGCGTGCGCCTCCAGAGCGTGCAGGACATCGGGGCGCGGTTCGAGAAGCGGGCGCTGCGCGATGCGCCGGCTGAGGGGGGCATGGGCGGCGGAGGAGGAGCGGCGGCGCGGCGGAGCAGGGAGAGGGCGAGGACGTCGAAGAAGCCGAGGCTGTGGCTCGGCCCCGAGGACGAGGCGGGCGATGTTGGCGAGCTCGACGAGCGGTGCGTGCGCTTTCGCTCTCTCTTTCCCTCCTCCCCTCCTTCCCTTTCCCTCTCTCTCTCTCTCGCTCGCTCCAGCGAGCGGCCACTGACACGACCTCGACCCGACGCAGTGCGGCTCACCTGTACATCTCGACGGCGCGCCCGCTCCCGCCGCACCGCAAGCCCGGCGCGCGCCCCACCGCCGCCCGGCCCGTCCACCTCCGCTTCGTCCCGGTCCGCCGTCCGCCGCCGACGCAGCTCGTCTCGCTCCGCCGTGCACTCGCCGAGGAGGACGCGTCGGGCGCGCAGCTCGACGCAGACGACGGCGGCGCCTCGGTCGAGATGGTCGTCGGCTCGCCCGCGTTGGCGGCGGCGGCGGCGGCGCGCGCGACCAAGCAGCGCCCGTCGAGCTTCCGGTTCGTCGTCGGCGCGAGGAACAAGCCGGCGAGCGGCGCTCGCGTCGTCGGCGACGGTGAGGAGGGCGACCTCGATCTCGGCCAGTCGGACGCAGCGCCTCCTGTCGAGGAGCCGCCTCGTGCGGGAGGAGGGCGCTCGTGCACGCCTGAGTTGGTCACGCCGGCGGCCCACTCGAGTGGCGACGTCTTTCTCGCCGGCCACCGCCCGCTGCGCCGCATGTCGACGTACGGCGTGTCGCTCTTTGCGCCGCGGCACGAGTCGGACCCGCTCGAGGACAAGGAGACGCCGCCGCCGGTCCCGGCGACGCTCGAGCTCGTCGTCGGCGCACCGGCGACGCCCCAGTCCGAGGTTTGGCCCGGGCACGACGCGCACGAGTCGTCGCACTCGTACCGCGACGGGCACGACGACACGCTGTCGCCCCCCCTGCAGGCTCGCGCGGTCGAGCCGACGCCGCCGCCTCGCACGGACCCTCTCCCCCCCGTCACGCCGTCCCTCTCGTTCCCCGCCCCTCAGCAGCGCGACGCCGCTCCGCATCACCCGTCCTCCTCGCGCTCGCCCAGCTCGACCTCCTCCTTCGACCGCTCGGGCCTCGCCGCCCTCGCCGGCACCGCCTCCTCCCCTCTCCGAGCCCACTACCCGAGCGACCTCCTGCTCCTGCCCGGCATGGCGACTGGCAGCTCGACGTCGTCGACGGGCCTCGCGCTCCCGATCCCGCTCCACACGCCGTGCGCCTCGTTCCAGTACTCGTCGCCGCCGTGCATGAGCGCCCTCGGGCCGACCGTGCCCGACGAGGAGGACGAGGACGACGAGGTGCTCCTGCCGACCGAGCAGCTCGGCGAGCTCGCGCCGGAAAAGGAGCAGGTTCCGCCGACGAGCGCGCTCGAGCCTCGATCGCTCGGCGCCGCGCCCGACCACCCCCTCTCGGACGCCTTTGACGAGCTCGACATCGGCCCAGGCGACGACGCCGAGGTGCACTACACGGCGCTCGCCGTCGCGAAGCGCACGAGGCGCGCGCTCGAGCCTGCGAGGCGCTCGACGGTCGGGCGAGCAGTGCCGCAGCAGCAGCTTCCGCCGCCGCCGCGCAAGGCGCAGACGACGGTGCAAGGCGTGTTGACGCCGCCCGAGTCGACGCGCAAGGCCGGCAAGGAGAGGGGGGCCGGCGAGGGATTGAGTGGGAGGAGCGAGGAGCGAGGAGCGAGGGGGAGGGGAGGAGGGGGCCCGAGCGTCGCTTGACGTAGTACTGCTTGCGCTTGAATGCAGACGCTTTGCTTGCAAAAGCGAGCCGAGAGCGACGAGAGGGGACTGAGACCGAGATCAAGGTGGAGCAAGCTGCAGTTGCACAACACGGCTCGGACCCTCCTCCTCCTGCTCTACATCCTCGCTCACCGCTCAGCCCTGCGCCTCGGTCTCGGTCGACGCCGCCTTGTGCTGCAGGACAAGACACAAGAGTCAGTCGAGTAAGAGAGAGAGCGAGAGAGTGAGAGAGAGTGTCGAGAGAGCGGGAACGCACCTTGGGGACAAAGTTCCAGTCGTCGGGCGCCGGGCCGAGGAACATTTCGCAGATCTTGAGCCAGTCCTTGGCCTGGTCCGAGGCGAGGAGCGTCTGCGGATCGTGCCCGTCGTCAGGCCTGCTCGAGGCGTACAAAGGGAAAGAGAGGGACGCACCTCGAGCTCGTCGCGGCCCTTGTAGGGGAAGGCGCGCTCGTTCATGTTGGTCGGGAGGCGCTCGAGGAGGCCGACGGGCACGTAGCGGTGCGTGAACGAGAGCGACTCGGCGACGAACCGGCGCGTCTTGTTGAGGCCCATCTGGTCGGCTCCCTGTGGGCGGCGCCGGTAGTCAGCGAGAGGGCCGGCTGGGGGAGCAGGACGAGGGCGAGAGAGAGAGAGAGAGAGGGCGCACCCAGTGCTCCATGCCGTAGTCGCACAGCTTGCCGATCATGTCGAGGCGCTCGCGCGACGAGATGTCCCCTGCGCGCGAGGGCGACATCGTCAGATCGGGTCGAACGGGCAGAAGGAGGATGGCGAAGACGCACAGTCTCGGCGCTCCTTGATCTCGGTGAAGCACCACGGCTTGATGAGGGCGCCGCGCGCAATCATGATGCCGTCGACGCCGCTCGACTCGACGTTGTCCCAGTACGTGCGCCAGTCGTACGCGTCGCCGTTGCCAAAAATCGGGATCGGCGCGAGGCCCTCGTCCTCGGCCGTGTCGCGCAGGACCTTGACGCACTCGCCGATGTCTGCTCGACGGAGAACGAGGGTCAGCTCGGTCAAAGAGAGAGACTTGGAAGGAGGAGAGGCGCGAGGACGCACACTTGTAGTCGGCGAACGCCTTGTAGCGCTGCTGCCGCGAGCGACCGTGCATCTGCGGGACGAGACCGGGAATATGAGCGGCCATTCACGGCGAGGAGGAGGAGGAGGGACTCGAGGGCGCACCGTCACGGCGCTGACGCCCCACTCCTTCTGGAACCGCGGCATGAGCTTGTGCGCCGTCGGCTGGCTGTTGCTGACGCCCGTGCGGATCTTGACCGTGAGGGGCACCTCGCCGAGCACCTTGCTCATGCCGACGAGCGACTTGCCGAGCTTGCCCGCGTGCGCGAGGAGCGCAGAGCCGGCGCCCTTGTTGAACACGAGGTCGATCGGGCAGCCGCAGTTGATGTCTGCGAGGGCCGGCGTACAGGGTCAGTGACGAGACGAGGAGAGAGAGAGAGAGAGAGAAAGTGAGAGGCAGGGACGCACCGAGGAAGTCGATCTCGGTGCTCTTGACGATGGCCTCGGCGGCGGGCACGAGGACCTGGGGCTTCGAGCCGCAGATCTGGACGCCGAATGTGCGCTCGCTCGGGTGGCGCCGCACGAGGCTCCACTCGTTGGCGTTGCCCGACAGGAACTCTTGCGCGAGGCCCATCTCGGACGTCGTGATGTCGCAGCCGTACTCGACGGCGAGGCGGCGGAACGGCAGGTTGCCGACCGTCGTGAGCGGCGCCATCCACATCTTGCCCGCAAAGTCGAGGCGCTTCTTCTCGGATGCGCGGATCGGCGCGAGGTCGGGAACGTAGGTGCGCGACGGGCGCGAGTCGACGTCGGCGGCGGCGGCGGCAGAAGAGGTCGGTGCGGCAGGGTCGGCGACGGCGACGGGGTCGCCCGTGGAAGGAGCGACGGCGTCGGCAGCAGTCGGCTCGGTGCTGTCGACTGCGGCGGACGGCGCGGCGGGCTCAGGAGCCGGCTCGGCCGCTGCCGGTTCTGGTGCCGGCGCGGTCGCCTTCTGCTGCCCGTCGCGGCCGCGCTTCTTGCTCTTGCCGTGCTTCTCGTCGCCGCGCGTGTCGAGCGGCTCGCCGATCGACTTGAGGTACTCGGTCGACAGCGGGAACTTCTCCTGCGGGCGCGAGGCGAGGTCAGTCAAGACCTTCAAGGAGAGAAGGGAGGGCGGGCGAGCAGGGGGCGCACCTCGGTCTTGCCGCCACCACGGATCGCCTTGATCTGCATGCTCGTGATGAGGTTCATCTCGCCGAGCGAGCTCAACTTGGCCTTGCCCTCGCCTGCCGCCGCCGCCGCCGCCTCGACCTCCTTGACCTTGACCTCGTCGACGACGAGCTCCCACCCGCAGCCCATGAAGCCCTCGCCGTCGGCGACCTTGCGCATGTGGCTCTCGCCGAGGCGGCACTTGAAGCCGTACGGGCACCGGCCGAGCGACAGGTACAGCGGGCACGTGTGGGCCGTCTCGGTCGGCGTGAGGTCGTCGGGCGTGGTCGGGAGCGAGCGCCGGACGTCGGCCTGGCGCGACGAGAGGAAGGCGGCGAGGTCGTGGTCGTTGTTGCAGTTGGGGCGGTCGCACGGGCGGCCCTGTCCGACAATGTTGCAGAGCCGGACGTCGTGGGTGCCGGCGCGGTGGTCGAACTTGCGGCCCTGGGTGCAGTTCTCGAGGGTCAGTCCGTCCCCTTCGAGAGTCACGCAGTGAGAGAGAGAGAGAGGGGGACGCACCTTGTTCTGCCCCTTGCCCCTCTTGCGTCCGCCGGCCTCGTCGCCCTCGCCCTCGCCGCCGCCCTCGCGGCCGCCTTCTTGGCGTCGAGCTTGGCCTGCTTCTTGGCCTCCCACTGCTCCTGCTGCCTCTGCCTCGCCGCCGCCTTCTTCTGCGCGCCGCTCAGCCGCACCTTCTTCTGCTCGGGCTCGCCCTCGCCGGCGGTGGCGCTCGTCGCGGTAGGGGTCGATGCGCCGCTCTCAGCGGGCGCAGCGGCGGCGGGAGCGTCAGTCGGGGCGTCGGTGGAGGTCGCAGGAGCCGAGTCGGCGGTTGCAGGAGGCGCGGTCGAGACGTTGTCGGTCGAGCGAACGAGCGGCTTGTCGAGTTGCGACTTGCCACGGCCCTCGGCGGCGTCGTCGTTGACGGTCGGCGGCGCGGTCGACGTGGTCTTGCCCATCTTGTGCCATTGGACGAACCTGCGCAGCCACACGAGGGCGTGGTCAGCTTGCAGGTCGAGGTCGAGTCGCTCGAGAGAGATGAGACGGGCGAAAGTTGGAGGGAGGCGAGGGACGCACTCTGGCTTGATGGGCGCAATCCCGCCGTTCTCTGTCTCCCAGTAGGGCTTGGCAGCAGGTGCTTCAGCAGCCATGGCGAGCGAGCGTGGTGCGGGAGAAGGGCGAGTCGCCAGAGTGGTCCAGCTCTCGCTCTCTCACTCCTCTCACGTCGCCTCATCATCGTCTAGGGCACAGTCAGACCGCCCATTACCATCTGTGAGTCTTCTCCTTTCACCCTGCCTTATCCACCGCGAGTCTCGAGCGAGAGCTCGCCTCTCCTCCTCGAGCTCCGACTGCGACGATCTCGCCTCGCCTGTCAGCGACGACAACCCCTCAGGACGATGCTGACCAGTGCTCGTACTCCCACAGATACGCCATCATGCCGCGCCCTCTACCTGTCGAGCTCGTGGACCACATCCTCGCCGACGAGTCGCTCGAGCCTGCCGACCTCGCGCGCGCCTGCCTCGTCTCGCGGTCCGTGTTCGCCCTCGCACGGCCCCGCCTGTACGCCGGGCAGGTCTTCTGGTTCAACATTAACGAGAACACCAGCCCGTCGGCGACGCGTAGTTGGTGCTCGGCGATACGGGCCTCGCCTCAAGCCGCGGCACTCGTGCGGCACGTCCAGCTCGAGGTTTACTTCCACACCGGCGACAAGGACTTCTTGGCCGACGGCGACCCGATCGACTTGATCGCCGACGTCCTCGAGAACTGCACCAACCTCGAGCACTTCACCGTCGGCGCCATGAAGATGCCCGTGGCCTTCCTCGCCGTCTTCCCGGCGTGCGCCAGCCTCCGTACCTTCTGGAACATCCCGTTCACCAACGACACCTACAAGGCCCTCGTCGACATGCCCAACCTCATCCACCTCGCCCTCTACTTTGAGGGTTCGACGGCCGGCGTTGACAACGTCGACCCCGACGGTCCGACACCCTCCTTCCACCTCGAGACCGTGCACCTCGAGTCGCTCAACCCTGTTCGCGGTTCGCTACCTCTTCGTCGCGTTCTCGCCACCGTCCTCGGTACCTCGTACGCGTCGATCCGCTCGCTCCAAATCAACGCGGCCAAGGACGACGTCGCAAACCTCGTCAGTGGCACCTTCTCGGCCGTCGACTTCCTGTGGACGGGGTACCAAGACGCCGAGCACCTGGACACCATACTGCGCGCGTGCGGCTCCATCACGACGATGCAGCTCAGCAACCAGATCTGTCACCGCTGGGGCGCCGAGCCAAACCTGTCGTCCACATTCGAGGTCCTCCCGGCGACGCTCAAGACCCTCCACCTGGACGCCATCACGAATTGGGTGGTCGACGACACCATGCCCACCGTGGTCGCCGTTCGCGAGATCCTCGACGCGCTCCCAGCCCACGTGCGGCTTGAAAAACTCGGCGTCAAGCCGTTCGAGTACCGGCCAAACTCGTGCTCGTGTCGCGGCGAGTGCGCGTGCGACACGTTCTCGGACTCGACTCGATGTCGTCCTCAAGCTCGTCGTCGTCGTCAAGCTCGTCGTCGTCGTCTTCATCATCGAGCTCGTCGTCGTCGAGCAGCTCGTCGGGATCGGGCTCGTCGGGACGGTGGACGTCAAGCTCGTCGTCCGCAAGCTCGTCGTCCTCAAGCTCGTCGTCTTCGAGCTCGTCGGACTCGGACTCGTCGGATTCGGACTCGTCGTCGTCGCGCCCGAGGCGGACGTCACGACCCTACCGGAGCCTGCTGTGGCGGTCAGAGCTCGAGGCGTGGCGCAAGCTCGAGGTGTACTGCGCCGGCAGAGGGGTCGAGCTGGTCCTTTCGCCGCTCGATGTTTGCCCGTCGAGCGCGTCGTGTCTGCCCAGCCCCGCCGTCCCGATGCCGTAATGTCACTCGCTCTCGTCGGTCGTGCGCGTCGTCGAGAGACTCGAGAGAGCGAGCGAGGGTGAGAGGGTCCGAGCCACCGACGGCTCGAGCGAGAGGTTGCCCCGCCGGCTCAGGCTGAGAGAGCTTCATCGAGAGGCGTACGAGCGCAACGTGGAGCAGCAGAGCTTCCTCGTCGCTCGCTCTGTGTCTCTCGGGCGGGCGCGAAGCCTCGGGCGAAACAAGAGAGAGAGAGGGTCAAGGTCGAACTCGAGTTGCAGGACGTGGCGCTACTCCCTCGACCTCGCCGCCCAGTACTCGCGGTGGCGCCTGCACGGACGAGGGGCCGAGTCAGTACGAGCGTCTCTTGACACCCACGGCCTCGCTCGAGAGAGATAGAGAGGGAGAGAGAGAGACGCACCTCTGGACGTCCCTCGCCCTCGCCCCCCACCGCTCCTCATGGTCCCTCCTCCTCAAGTCGACTACGGTCACGTCCCTCCTGTCCCTGTACCTCGCGTCCCTCTCCTCCCACAGCGTCCCCTCGAGCGCGCCTCCCGTCCCCCGCTTGACGCGCACGTTGCGCACGTGCACGAGGGCGCCGCGGCGCGCTTGGCCGGTGCGCGAGTGGTCGACGAGCGCCGAGAGCGGTTGGGCCTGGGCGCCAAAGACCGACAGTTGGAGGACGAGCTGGCCGGCGAGGCCGACGGCGGACGGCGAGGCGTAGTCGTGCAGGAGAGGGTGCCGGGTGTAGTCGGTGAGATAGAGCGAGGCGGCGCTCGAAGGGGGCAGCGAGGCGCACGACGAGGGGCAGTGGATCTTGGTCACCTGCGAAGAGGGTCCAGAGGTGAGTGAGGCGGACGTGGGAGAGAGAGAGAGAGAGAGGCTTGACGCACCATGCCGATGAGGTCGCAGAACTGGCCCTCCGACATCTCCTCGACGCGCAGCAGCGGCCGCCCGCCTCGTGCCCCGCCGCCGCCGGCGCTCGCCCGAGGTCGAGCGCCATCCGCGAGGCTCGGCGGGAGCATCGGCCTCGTCTCAGCTCCTGCGGCGCCGCCCTCGCCCTCGTTTGGGCCCGCCGCCTCGCCGCACGCCCTGACGACCCTCGCCGCGTACGCGAGCTCGTCGGGCGCGACCTCGAGCGCACTCGGTCGCGCTGTCGGTGCTGCCGTCGCTGCAGCTGCACCGGGCCGAGGAGGCGGCGAGGCGAGGAGCGCCGCGGGGCGAAGAGGCGCGTGCGGGACGACGGCGAACGCGCGCGCGAGGAGGATGGGCGCACCCGGCGTCGAGGCGGCCTTGAGCTGCGACGAAGCGCGGCGCGAGGGCAGGGTCAGGGCGGTGCTCGAGCGGGGCGTCGTGGGAAAGAGAGAGAGAGAGAGGAGGACGCACAACGAGGTTGCGCGCGAGGACGACGTCGCCGGGCTGGACATCGGGGAGCGCCGCCGCGGTCTTGGCGTACCACTGGATCTCGAGCGGAGCGTCTCGCCCGGGTCGGGTTGGGTCGACAACGAGGATCGGGCGGTACCAGTCTGTCGAGGGAAGGGGGGCGCAGGCCGTCAGGGGACCGACGCAGGCGAGGAAACGAGGGCAAAAGAGGATGAGGGAGGGGGGCCGCACGCACCTCGATTTGACGACATGGGCTCGGACGGCCTCCCGGCGTGCGTGACGAGCGCGACGACGTTGACGACCGTGTTGAGGAGGGCCGACTTGGGCGTCTGGGCGACGAGCGGGCCGAGCTGGTCGAGCGGTGTGTAGCGCGTGCCGTCCACCTGCACATTGCGCAGTGTCAGTGTCGGGTAGAGGAGGAGGGAGAGAGAGAGCACAGGGGACGCACCGCGGTCAGGCCCCATGAAGCGAGCGCGTCGGCTGCCGCTGCGGCCTTGAGCCGCTTGCGGGCCCGGTGGCCTTGTCCTGGCGGGCTGACCTTGGCGGGCACCGATGGCCGTGGCGACGTCGACGTTCTCGGACGCTTTGCCGAGGGCGCGGCGGCGAGGGGTGGAGGTGGAGCGGGAGGAAGAACGGGAGGAGGAGGTGCGGACGGTCGAGGGCGAGCATGCGGCGCCGTCGACTTGGCCGCTTCTGTGAGTGCGCACTTGCGTGTGAGCTCGTCGGACGTCGGGAAGGCAAAGGGAGAGCGAGGACGCACGGGCAAAGTGCAGGAACTCGTCGTCGCCGTTCTTGCGCCGGATCCAGCCCGTCAACTCGTCGAACCGGACCCACCCCGCGCGCCGCTCGCCGTGGCCGTTGCCCGTACTCTTGCCGGGGGCGGTCGACGCTCCCTTTGTGGCGAGAATGACGATGTCGCCCTTGCGGAGCCTGCGCGAGGCGAGGAGGGCGACGTCGCCCTTGAGCTCGACGTCGATGGCGGTGCCGGGTGTGTCGAGGCCGGGATCGATCGAGGCGAGGGTGAGCTGGGCGAGGCGAGTGTGGGGCGAGTAGGGGCGGAGCTTTGTGAGGCGGCCACGGACGACGCCATGTGGGGAGGAGCTCGAGGGCGATGAGGACGCGAGGGTCGACAGTGGGACGGGCTCGAGTGGGCGGCGTGCCGTCGTGGGCATGGTTGAGCAGCTTGTTCGTGGGACGAGGCCTGACTCGGAAGCGTGACAGAGTCAAGCCGCGTCGGATGACTCCGAGTAGTCGACCAACAACCGACGACGACGACGACGACGACGACGACGACGACGAGGCAGCCTCTTGGTTCCCGCTCTACACCTCGCTCCAACTCAGACTACTGCTGCAACCTGCACCTCGCTCTCTTGGCTCTGCTCGCCCCAACTCGCACGCGCCAACTTCCCCGACCAGCGCCGACCATGGCCACCTCGTCGCTCTTCTTCTACGGCACCCTGTGCCACGCCGCCGTCCTCGCACGCGTCATCGGCGACCCGGGCGAGCACCTCACCACCCACGACGCCCTCCTTCCACACCACGCCCGCCTCCACGTCGACGGCGAAGGTGCGCCCCCCTCTCGTTCCCTCTCGTCCGACTCTCGGGCGAGCCTGACGAACCCGTTTCCCGCAGACTACCCGGCCGTTGTTCGGGCGCAAGACGGCGCTCGAGTACTCGGGCGCGCCCTCACCGACGACGAGGCGTCCGTTCGAGGCGTCCTCGTCCAGGGCTTGACCGCCGACGACGTTGCTCTCCTCGACGAGTTCGAGGGCGACGTGCGTCCTCTCGTTCGTCCCTGTCACCATCCCGTCCATCCACTGACGCACCCTCGCGGCGCAGGAGTACACTCGCGCACCGTGCACCGTCGACCCCCTCCCTTGCTCCTCCTCCTCCTCCTCCGCCGCCGACACCCTCCCCTCTCGCACCTCGGCCTCGGTCTACCTGTGGACCGCCCCGCTCTCGCGCCTCTCGCCCTCGATCTGGCACTTTGACCAGTTCCTGCGCGACTCGGCCCACCGTTGGGTCGGGCCCGGCGCCGAGGCCAACCCCGACTTTGCAGAGGTCGACCGCCGCAGGCGCATGCGCGGCATCATCACGCCCCGGGGCGTGCGCGACAGCGCACAGGCAGCGCTCGCCGACCTCGAGGGTGACGTCGACGCCAAGCTGCGCCTCGACGGCGATGGCGAGCCGCACAAGCCGCACGAGCCGTTCGGGCGCGCCCTGCGCGCCAAGTACTTCTCGCACGAGCCCGGCTGGATCCCGCTCAACCACGGCTCGTACGGCGCCGCGCCGCACCCGGTCCTGTCGCGCATGCGCGCCCTCCAGGACCAGTGCAACCTGTCGGCCGACCGGTTCATGAAGCTCGAGTACGAGCCGCTCCTCGTCGAGGCGCGAGGGCGCGTCGCCGACTTGGTCGGGTGCGACACGGACGACGTCGTGTTTGTCACAAACGCGACCATGGGCATCAACACGGTCTTGCGCGGGTTGACGACCGAGTGGAAAAAGGGCGACCGGCTGTTGTACTTGCCGACCTCGATGTGCGTCCCGCCTCTCTCTCTCTCTCGGGGTTACTGCGGCGATCGACGTGGCTTCAGAGCGAGCCCTGATTGACTCGGTCCCCACGTGCAGCTACAACGCCTGCGAGCGCACGCTCCAGTACATCGTCGACACGCACCCACACGTCGAGCTCTCGCTCCTCCCCGTCCCGCTCACGTACCCTCTCTCGCACGCCTCGCTCGTCGCCCAGGTCGCCGCCGCCATCGATGCCGCCAACAGCGACGGCACGGGCCGCACGGTCCGCCTCGCCCTGATCGACGCCATCTCGGCCAGCCCGGGCGTCGTCGTCCCCTGGCCCCAGCTCGTCGCCACCCTCCGTGAGAGGGGCGTCCTCTCGCTCGTCGACGCCGCGCACGAGCTCGGCCAGACGCCGCGCATCGCGCTGCGCGAGACCGACCCGGATTTCTGGGTGTCCAACGTGCACAAGTGGGGGCTCGCGCCGAGGACGGTCGCGGCGCTGTATGTCGCAAAGAGGTGGCAGCACCTCGTGCACTCGATCCCGATCGGCTTCTCGTACAAGCAGCGCGAGTTCAACCCGGACGGCGACGCGCACTGGACGCGCGAGTTCAACTGGAGCGGCACCATCGACTGGGTGAGCCCCGCCCTTCCTCCTTCTCTTCCCCTCTCCTGCACCTCTCACTGACCTCGTTCACGTCCCCTGCCCCCGCCCCCGCCCGCAGTCGCCCGTCCTGTCCGTCACGGCCGCGCTCGACTTTCGCCGCGACGTCCTCGGCGGCGAGCAGCGCATCTACGACTACTGCCACGCGCTCGCGCTCGAGGGCGGCGCGCTCGTCGCCGACGTGCTCGGGACCAAGGTGCTCGAGAACGAGCGCGTCGAGGACGGCGAGCTCACGGCGTGCATGGTACGTCGCGCTCTCTCTCTCTCTCTCTCTCTCTCTCTCTCTTTCGGGCTCGCCTTCTCGCGCGAGTCACAGGTTGACTAACCTCTCTCGCCTCGCCGCACGCACGCACGCAGGTCAACGTCGAGCTCCCGCTCCCCCGACCCTCGACCTACACTGCCTCGTCCCTCTCGTCCCTCACCTCGTTCTGGATCGCTCGCCTCTCGGCCCTCAAGACGTTCGCGCCCATCTACACCCACGACGACCGCTTCTGGACCCGCCTCTCGGCCCAGGTCTACGTCGACCTCGACGACTTCCGCAAAGGCGCTCAGGTGCTCGACAGCGTGTGCGACGAGATTCGCCGGCGCGAGTTTTGACGGCGGCGGCGGCGAGTTTTGACAAAGCCGCAGCAGCCGGGTTTGCTAGAGCATTCTCTCGAAAGACTTTCTATCAGTGCCCATCGTGCCTCTCGTCCGAGCGAGCGTCCGAGCGAGCGAAAGAGAGGAGAGAGGAGAGGCTCGTGATAGCAAAGGCGCGCTCGAGCGCACAAGTGGTTGACGAGGGAGTGGGGAAAGGGGAACGACGGCAAGGACTACACGAACGAGACAGAGTGTGAAAGGCGAAGGTAGTCGGGCACAGGTGAGCGGGGAGGGGGAGCGAGGGCTGCTACAGAGAGGAGGTGCGAGGAGTCTAGAGTTGCGAGGGGGTTGCGAGGTGCGAGAGAGGGGGAGTGGTACACAGACGACGACGGTGCGTCGCGCGCGCTCAAAAGTCGGCGTCAAAGACGAGCAGGCGCGAGTCCTCGATGGGCGTGCTCGCGCCGGGCGTGCCCGACGCGCTGTCGGCGGCCGACCGAGCGGCGTGACCCGACATGATGCCGGCTTTTTGGTAGTCACTGACCCGCTCTGCATCGCGAGGTTCCCCGAGGTCAGTTTCGGCCGTCCTGGCGGGACAAACGGAGAGAGAGAGAGAGAGAGTGAGACGCACTCTCGAAAAAGTTGGTCTTGCCCTCCATCGAGATCATGTCCATAAAGTCGAACGGGTTCTCGGCGCCGTACTGCTTGTCGTTGCCGAGGCTCACGAGGAGGCGGTCGGCGACAAACTCGATGTACTGGCGCATGAGGCCCGCGTTCATGCCGATGAGGCCGACGGGGAGCGCGTCCGTGAGGAACTCCTTCTCGATCTCGACCGCCTCGCGGACGATCTGCGCGACGCGCCGCGGGGCCGGTCGGCGCTCGAGGTGCGAGAAGAGGAGGCACGCAAAGTCGGTGTGCAGGCCCTCGTCGCGCGAGATGAGCTCGTTCTGCAGGTGAGCGAGAGAGTGAGTCGCACGTGGACAACGACGAGGAAAAGGGAGGCGAGGACGCACGGAAAAGGTGAGGCCGGGCATGAGGCCGCGCTTCTTGAGCCAGAAGATGGACGCGAACGAGCCCGAAAAGAAGATGCCCTCGACGGCGGCGAACGCGACGAGGCGCTCGCCAAAGACGGCGCGCGGGTCCGAGATCCACCGCAGCGCCCAGTCGGCCTTCTTGCGAATGCAGGGGACTGTCGCGGAGAAGAGGCTGAGTGAGCTTGGCGCGCAGAGGAGACGCAGGAGGGAGGGCGCTCGGCGGGACGCACTCGTGTCGATGGCGTTGAACAGCCTCGAGCGCTCTTGCGCCTCGCGCACGTACGTCTCGATGAGGAGCGAGTAGACCTCCGAGTGAACGTTCTCCCTGTAGGCAGTGACCCCGAGTCAGACACGACACAGAGGGGAAAGAGAGGAGGCGGGCGAGGACGCACATCATGATCTGGAACCCGTAGAAGCACCTCGCCTCGGCGACCTGCACCTCGCTCGAGAAGCGCTCGACGAGGTTCTCGTTGACGATGCCGTCGGACGCGGCGAAAAAGGCGAGGACGTGCGAGATAAAGTGGCGCTCGTTGTCGTTCAGGCGGCCGTCCCAGTCCCACAGGTCCTTCGAGATGTCCTGGTCGGGGGGAAAGCGAGGGTCAGTGGCCGCCTCGTCACAGGAGAAAGAGGGTGAGGACGGACCATCTCCTCGGCAGTCCAGAAAGAGGCCTGCGCACGCTTGTAGTGCGCCCAGATCTGTCGGCGCGGGTCGAGGTGAGCTTTGCTGGCTGGCGCAGGCGGGAGAGAGAGGGAGAGGAGACGGTGAGCGCACCTCCTGGTACTGAATCGGGAACAGGACGAAGCGGTCCTGCGTCTCGCGCAGGATGGGCTCGTCGCGGTCGCGGCGGATGGCAGGGTTGCCGACGAAGCGAGGGTGGCCCTCGGCGTCGATGCGGGCGTCCTCCGGGTCGTGCTCTGCCGCGGCCTGCTTGCCCTTGGTCGGCGGCGGGAAAGCTGGCGGGAACTGCTCGGCGGAGGAGGACGACAAGTCGAGGACGGCCGCCTCCTCCTCCTGCGGGGGCGGTGCGACCTCGAGCGGTGCGGCCGGGCCCTCGTCCTCGCGCTCCTTGCCCTTGGCGCTGCTGCTGCTCCGCCTGGCGGCCGTGGGGCGCTGCACGCCCGCGCCGCTGCCGCCGTTGCCGCCGCTCGAGCTCCGCCTGCTCAGATCCATCTGCGGACGCTCGGTCGGCGGCGCGAGCGAGAGGTGCGACAGGCTGGACGAGGGCGAGGCGAGAGGGGACGAGTAGTAGCCCTGGGCGTAGGCGTGGTGCGGTGGCGGGTCCCTGCTGGTCGAGACGAGCATGGCCTGGCTCGATGAGGGAGGAGGAGGAGGTAGATGAGGAAGGGCGAGAGGTGGTGGCGACGTTGGCGGGCAGGGGGTCGGCTGGCGGTGCGGTGCGTGCGTGGCTGCTGCGGCAAGGCAGGGGAATGTACAGGAGGGGGCACAAAGGCTCGTCGGCAGAGCGTGGTGGAGCGCAAGGAGTTGGCATCTCGCCGCTCGTCTTGACGTCTCGCTCGTCGAGGCGGTGAAGGGCCAGGATCGCACGCTCGCTCTCGCTTCCCAGGCCGCGCAGAGTCGCAGAACAGACTATGTACGATGTCAGAAGGCTGGGCTTGCAGCTACAGCTCGACGCTCCGACCGCCTTTCTCCCCCTCGACCGTCTCAGCACCGCGCACCGCCGCCGACGTCGACGCCCCGCTCAGTGCTTGCGCGCCCCCTTCTCGAGCCCGCGCAGGATTGTCTTGAACGCCTTCTCGAGGCGCTCGACCTCGACCTTGGCGCGGTCGACGTCGCCGTCGAGCGTGAGCGCTTCGGCGAGGCCAGGCAGCGTCGTCGCGCCGTACCCGAGCCACCGCCCGGGCGCCACGCCGAGGTGGCGGTACCACTCGCGCCCCTGCAGGCCCTCCTCGTCGCCGAGGAAGCCGCGCTCGAACCCGCGCAGCGCGGCGTTGACCTTGCGCAGGCCGTGCGCCGCCTTGTGCGCCGAGCGCTCGTCGCCGGCGGCCGTGAGCTGCGACGCGAGGTGTGCGCCGTGCGCGAGGAGCGTCGTCGACGCCCTCTGGATCTTGTCGGCGAGGGTGTAGAGCGTCGACAGGTCGAGCTGGGCGGCGAGAGGATGCGCGGCGACCTTGTCGAGGTACTTGCCGAGCTCGACGGCGTATGCTGCGGGGCGGGCTCGAGCTCGTCAGTTCAGGGTCGACGACATAGACTCGTGCGAGAAAGAAAGAGAGAGAGGCAGGGACGCACCGGTCGTGTTGATCGGGAGCACGGCATCGTCGGCGAGCCGCACCGCCGTCAAGCCAAGGACGCGCGAGACGGCGCGGTGGCGCTCGAACGACGGGTCGCCGTACTTGGACTGCCACGCATAGTCGTCGTAGTTGCTGTGGTACATGTAGACTGGGAAGCGCGGCGTCAGGTCCTGCTGTGACGGCGGCGAAAAGGCCCGAGCGAGAGGACGGCGAGCGCACCAGGGTCACTCTTGCCGCGCGCCATGCCAAAGTTGGCCGAGGCGAGTCCGAGGCGCTGCAGGAAGACGGTAAAGTCTTGAGAGGGGAAGGGCGAGTCAGGGTCGTCCCTGGCGGCAGAGGGCGAAGGAGAGAGCGAGAGGAGGACGTACCGCTGCCGCTCCCGAGAGGCCCGACGTGCAGGTCGCCGCCGTACCGGTCGGCGAGCGTCTTGCCCTCGTTGTCCGGGTCGGGCACCTGGGCGCTGACGTTGCGGAGCAGGTCGGCGAGCGACGGCGACGCGCCGAGCTGGTACTGCGAGCCCGAGACGCCTGTCGAGGTGAGGGAGGAGGAGCGGTGAGCGCGTGCGCCTTTCGAAGAATCAGAGGGAGAGAGAGAGGCTGGACGCACTAACATCGACGTTGAGGTAGGCGACGACGTGCTCCTGCAGCCACTCGGGAAAGTCCTCGCCAAACTCGGTCGAGCCGATGAGGCCGTACCTGCGTCCGGCACGCCGCCCTCAGTCAGTCCCTCGGTGCTCGAGCCTCACGAACAGATTAGAGAGAGGAGGACGCACTCCTCGGCGTCCCAGGCGGCGAGCAGGATCGTGCGCAGAGGCTTCCAGCCCTTGTCGAGGAGGGCGCCGAGCGCTCGGACCGTCTCGTGCACCGAGGCCGTGCCGCTCGACGGGTCGGCGGCGCCGAATGTCCCTGTGTGCGAGTGAGCGAGGCCCGAGTCAGAGTGCGACGAGGAGGCGAGAGGGAGAGAGAGAGCGCGAGAGGAAGAGGACGGAGGACGGACAGGCGTCGTGGTGGTTGCCGAGGACGACGACCTCGTCCGAGACGTGGCCTGGAATGAGCGCGTACGTGTTCCTGCGTCGGCGCGCAACGTCGTCAGGGTCGATGGCAGAGGAGGACAAGGACGTGGAGGAACGAGGCGACGCACCAGATGGGCGTGATCTTGTCCTCGACGACGTTGACGAGCTCGACCTCGACCTCGCCGTCGCCCGTCCAGTACTCGACGCCGAACCCGCCGAGCCCGCCCTCCCTCCACCCTTGCGGCTTGCCCTCCCTCCCATCCTCGAGCCGCACCCCGCGCCCGTTCAGGCTGCGCAGCAGCGGCACGGCGTCCTCGTAGCTGAGCGGCAGGCTCGGGATGCTCGGCACGTTGATCGTCGGGTCGTCGCGCGGGAGCCGGTCGGGCGCGCCGGGCAGCGCAGGGTTGTACGACGGCGAGCCCGGCGTGAGCGGGTCGCCCGGGTACAGGCTCAGGTACTGGGCCGAGCCGCGCTGGACGCTGCTCGGGGCGCGAGCAGGGCCGTGAGGGTACGACGAGTAGTTGTTGGACACGACGACGTCGCCGTCCTCGATCAGGTCGGTGTAGATGATGCACGCGCTCGCGCCCGCCTCGGCGGCCGCCTTGACCTTGAGGCCGCGGAACGAGCCGCCGTACTGGACGATGACGACGGCGCCCTTGACGTTGATGCCTGCGGGCGCGGTCGAGAGGGGAGGTCAGTGACGATTTCCGAGGGCGGGAGCGCCCAGACGAGGAACAGTCGGCGACGCACCGTTCTTCTCGAGGAGCTCGTAGTCCTCCCTCGCGCCCTTGGACGCGTACACGAGTTGGCCCCTCGCCGAGCCGTTTTTCGAGAAGCCGTGCCAGATGCCGACGCCGTCTGCGCTCGTCGGGTCGTCGTCCGGGAAGGCGTCCTCGCGCAGCTTGGCGCGGAACGACGGCTCGGTCGCGGTCGACGAGGCGAAGAGCGAGATGGACGACGAGATCGGGTAGTTGAGGAGCGAGTAGTACGTGTCGGTCCAGACGCGGGGCTTGTCGGTGAACGAGGACGACGGGACGCCGCGGTGGTGCTCGTGGTGGTCGTGGTGCTCGCGGTGATGGCGGTGCTCGCGGTGCTCGCGATGCTCGTGATGCTCGTGGTGCCCATGACGAGGATGAACTTGGCGGCCCGAGATCTTGCGCCCGGCGCGCCTCGCGAGGTCCTTGGCGCGCTCGAGCAGGCCACGCTTGCCGTCGCGGTGGCGGTGGTGGTGGCCCTTGCCGCCGTGCTTGTGGTGCTTGTGGCCATGGCGGTGCTTGTGCCCGTGCCCGTCGTCGACGTCGCCCGTCAGCGCGCGACGGCTCTCGAGCGTGCCGGCGTCGTACACGCGGTGGTGGTCCGGGTCGGCAGCGGCGCCGAGGAGCGTCTCCCACTGCGACTTGAGGAGGAGCGCGATGCGGTGGTCGCCGTCGGTGCCGGCGACGTGCGTCTGGTTGGTGTAGCTGCCGGTGGGTGAGAGGCGAGTGTCAGTGACCCGGGTAACTGCGAACCGAGGTAGGAAAGGGGAGGGCCGGTCGACGCACCCCTTGGAGGCGGCCTTGGCGCCAGCGGCAGTCGGGACGTCGAGGAGCGTGTCGACGATGTCGCTGTCGCTCAAGACGGCGAGCTTGTGGCGGTGCGGGCAGCCGTGACCACGCGGTGCGGTGCCGAGGCGGGCGAGGTACCCTGCGTCGCGCGAGAGGGCTGCGTGGCGCGGCGGGCGCGCTTGAGGGCCGAGCTGGAGGTAGAGGGACCCGAGTGCGAGCACGGCGAGGACGGCGCGGAGCCAGACGGTGCGCGAGGTCGAGCTGGTGGGCCGAGGTGGGGAGGACGAGTGGGTGGACGAGGGCGAGGGGAGCGGGAGGAGCGGCTCTTTGCGCTCGTGCTTGGTGTCGAGGGGCTGCTGCATCGTGTGCACGGTACCCTGGCCTGGTCGAGCCGGGTGGTGGTCAGGAACCAGAGCCAGGGTTGGTCGCGATGAACGAGCTCTCGCTTCCTCCTTGCACCACCGGCTCCTCCAGCGCCACCAGACGCGGCAAGAGCGCCACCTGGACACGCCGCACAGCACGCCACCGGCCCTCACGCCCTCGCCGACCGCGCCGCCATGGTCCCGCCTCCCTCGCTCCTCGACTACCTCTCGGCGCAGCTGTCCGCCTCGGTCCCGGGCAAGCACCGCTACGCGATCCACGTCCTGCGCTCCGAGCCACAGCGCTCCCACGTCCTCTTCCCGCACGCCACCAACGCCAACCTCGCCAAAGTCTGGCACGAGGAGACGCTCGTCGTCCTCTCGGAGCGCCGCCAGGTCCCGCTCGACGTCCCCCAGGCCGCCACGGGCGCACCGAGCACGGCGTCGAGCGCGACCGTGAGCGGCGCACCCGACGCGAGCGCGTCGGCCTCGGGCGCGCCCGTCGCGTCCACCTCGACCGCCGCCGCACCTCCTCCTCCTCCTCCTCCCGCCGCCGCCGCCGCCACCGCCGCCGCGAGCGAGACCCGCTCGGCCCTCGTCCCCATCGTCGCCCTCGAGGCGTCCCTCTACTTCATCCCCTCGACCTCGTGCGCCCTCCTGTACATCTCCAAGGTCGACACGACCGGCCTCTCGTCCCCCTCCTCCTCCTCGCCCACCCGCACCCTCGTCTCGGCCTTTGTCGCGCACCACCTCGTGCACCCGCCGCACGGCGCGCGCCGCCTGCGCGTGCACGTGTTTGCGCGCGCCCAGAGCCAGTACCTGTTCCCGGGCAGCGCCGACAACTCGCGGTCCAAGCGCGTCCTCGACGACAAGCAGCTCCTCAGGTGGTGGAAGGCGACGCTCGAGCGCGCGAGCTCGATGGCCCTGCGCGAGGGCGGCGGCGAGGGCGGCGGCGTCGGCGGCTGTGGCGGCGAGGGCGGCGGCGAGGGCGAGGCGCGCGACATCCGCAAGTGGTACCTCGTCCCGGGCCTCGCGCACGTCGAGTCGCTCCCCTACCTCCCCTCGACCGGCCCCGGCTGGACCTACGGCCATCCCTACGCGTCCCTCTCGTCGCCTCTCCACCGCGCGTCGGACCCACCCTCGGCCCACCCGCTCCCCGACCACGTGCCCGCGTTCGCCGACGACCCCAAGTCGCGCTTCCTCCACTCGCTCACGTCGTCGCCCGTCGCACCGAGCGGCACCGAGGGCGACTACGACGACGCGTACAGCGCGCTCGGGAGCGCGACGTGGAGCGCGGGAGGCGCGACCCCGGCGCACAAGGTCGCAGAGCTCGGGCGCCAGGTCGACAGGGAGCGCAGGAGGCTCGTCGCCGGGGTCCCGGGCGGCGTCGACGAGTGGTGGGAGCGCATGGCGTTCCGCCAGGAGTGCTGCGCCGGGCAGCTCGTCGGGTTCTTTGTCGTCGCGGTCGGCGAGCCGGCGCCGGCGCCATCGTCGTCGTCGTCGTCGTCGTCGGCCTCGACCTCGACCTCGGCCGCCAACCTCACCATCGCCACCTCGACCGCGCCTCTCGCCGCCGCTCCACCATCCCCCACCACCACCTCCTCCACCACCACCAAGCCGCCCACCGCGCACGCGCCCAAGCGGCACCCGCTCGCGCTCCGCCCCGCCCAGTACACCAAGCACTGGTCGACCCTGCACAACTTTGACTATGCGCTCCCGGCGCTCGCGAGGCTCGCGTCGGCCGTCGAGCGCTGGAGCGACGGGGTCGAGAGGGCCGTGAGGGGGACGTGCGAGGGCGAGGGCGAGGATGGGGAGGGCGAGGGGACGGGGCGCGAGAGGACGGGGCGCGAGGGAGAGGGGCGCGAGGGGGCGGGCGAGGGAGAGGGCGAGGGAGAGGGAGCGGCAGCGGGACAAGGCGCGCAAGCGGAGGACAAGGAGCGGGCGTGGAGGGCGCGCTACGAGCGCGAGGTGGCGCGCGAGCTCAGCGTCGACAACCCGCCACTCCCCTCTAGCGTCGCCGGCGCCGTGGTTGGGCAGGCGAGCGGCGTCGCCGGCGAGAAGCGGCCGGCCGAGGGCGCGTCGGGCGCAGCAGCAGGAGGAGGGGGAGGTGCCGCGGGATCGGGCCCTGGCGCAGGAGCGGGAGCGGGCGCGCGGGCAGGCGAGGCGCCCAAGGTCAACGTGCTCGCGCCGAGGAAGAAGAAGAAGAAGGTCGAGGGCGCGGCGTAGCTTTCCGAGAGCGGGAACGCAGCTTGCTCGCGAGGCGAAGCGAGGTGACTCTCTCTCTCTCTCTCTCTCGCTCTCGGTTCTCGAGGAGAGGGCAAGGAGAAAGAAAGATGGTCTGGCGTTGCAGCGAGTCCGAGAGATGCTCTGGCTCGTCTTGCGGCCGTCGCACGGCGTGCGGCTGGGCGCGCCCGTCCGGCTCGACGGGGCTTGCCGCGTCGAGGGCGCGCGACGTGCGACGCGAGGGGCCCGCCTTTCGGGCCAGGCTCGTGCCCCTGTTCGTGCGAGAGAGCCGCTCGGGCCTGTCGCGCCTGCGGCACGGTCGCCTCGCGTCCGCCGACGTCGTCGCCGCGTCGCGCTCAACGACCGGTCGCTCGCTCGCTCGTCGTCGTCAGGGTTCACGGGACTCACTCTCGCCCCGCCCTGCCGCCCGCTCACCCGCTCAAGCCGGCGCGCACCACCTCTGCGCCCTCGCGGAGCCTGACGCCCTCGCGAAACAGGGCCTGGGCGCGCTCGCTCGCGCGGTCGAGGTGCGCCTGGGCGAGGGGCGCGCTGTCGGGCGTCGTCGTCGAGGGGACGAAGCCGCCGGGTGCGGAGCGCGAGAGGAGCGAGACGAGGGCGTCGAGCGAGTCGAGGGCGTGGGAGGGCGAGGGCGAGGACGAGGGCGAGGGGGAAGGGGACGACGACGAGGGAGCGTCAAACGCGTGCTCGTAGGCGGCGAGGAGCGAGTCGATGTCGCGCTGTACGCGGTCGAGGAGGCCCTCGGCTGCGCCTGGGCCTGGTGCGCCGACGAGGAGGGCGACGGCGCGCCTTGCCTCGGTCGCCGGGTCTGCCGAGTGCGGGGTGGCGAGCGAGCTCGCGGGGTGCGAGGTGGCTGGGCCCGGTGGTGCTGGTGGGGCGAGGGAGGGCCGGGTCGAGAGGGCGCGCTGGCGGGGGAGATGAGGAGGAGGGGGAGGAGCGGCGGCGGCGGCGGGAGGGAGGAGCGACGACGAGGGCGAGGGGGCGGCGAGCCACGCAGACGGTGACTGGGACGGGTGCTGCATGGCCGTGTGCTGCGACTCTTGGCAGGGAGAGGGACGGCGGGACGATCACACTCAGAGCCGGAGCCCGTTTCGCGCAACATCGCCGGCGCCTCTCTCCCTCGCCTTCCTCCTGCTGCTACAGCTCCACTGCTCCCAGACTACACCTCTCGCCATGGCCCAGCACTCTGTCGAGGTGCGCTCGCCTTCCTCCCTCTCTCCCCCCCTCCTCCTTCATCCCCACCTCGTCGACCCCCCTGTCGACCCAAGCCTCGGCATGCTCACTCTATCCTCGCCCTCCCCTGCGCACAGGTCGGCCCGCCAGTCCCCGCAGGCCAGTCCAAGCCCCGCCGGTACCACAAGACGGCCGACAAGCTCTACACGGCGCCCAACTCTGAAACCCGCGTCCTCGCCGATGTCCTCGCCCGCACGATCCGCCAGAAGCCCGACGGACTCGCCCTCGGCTGGCGCGACACGATCAAGGTCCACACCGAGATGCGCGACGTCAAAAAAGTCGTCGACGGCGACGAGGTGACCGAGAAGAAGCAGTGGACGACGTACGAGCTGTCCGACTACCGCTACCAGACGTACGCCGAGCTCGGCACCCTCGTCGAGCAGGTCGCGGCGGGCCTCGTCAAGACGGGCCACTCGAGCTCGACCATCTTCAACATCTACGGCTCGACGTCGGCCCACTGGCTCACGATCGCCAACGCGTGTGCCCGCCAGGGCATCACGTTCGCGACCGCGTACGACTCGCTCGGCCAGGAGGGCCTGCGCCACTCGATCCAGGAGCCCGAGGTGTACGGCCTGTTCACCAACGCGCCCCTCCTCGGCACCCTCGCCGCCGTCGTCGCCGACACGCCCTCGCTCAAGGTCCTCGTGTGGGACGGCAAGCCCGACGACGTGCCCGCCGGCGCCCTCGACAAGATCCGCAACGCCGGCGTCGACGTCCACTCGTGGGACGACCTCGTCGCGCTCGGAGCTGCGAACCCGGTCGCGCCGAGCCTGCCGCAGCCCGAGGACGTCGCGTGCCTCATGTACACGTCGGGCTCGACCGGCGCGCCCAAGGCCGTCGAGATCACGAACCAGCAGGTCGTCGCCGTCATCGGCGGCGTGCTCGAGCTCGTGCAGGCCTTTATCACGCCCGACGCGCGCTTCATCGCCTACCTGCCCCTGAGCCACATCTTTGAGCTCGCGGTCGAGTTCACCCTCCTGTCGGTCGGCATCCTCATCGGCTACTCGTCGCCCAAGACGCTGTCCGACACCAACATGCGCGCGCCATGCGTCGGCGACATGCGCGCCCTCAGCCCGACCATCATGTGCGGCGTCCCGACCGTGTGGGAGACGATCCGCAAAGGCCTTCTCGCCAAGGTCGAGGCCGGCGGCCGCGTCCGCTCGTCCCTGTTCCACGGCGCCGTCGCCGCCAAGAAGTACACGCACGGGATCCCGCTCGTCGGCGGCCTCGTGCGCGGCGTCACCGACGCCGTCGTCTTCTCCAAGGTCAAGCAGGCGACGGGCGGCAAGCTGCGCTACGCCGTCAACGGCGGCGCCGGCGTCAGTCGCGACACGCAAGAGTTCCTCATGCGCTGCCTGACCCCGACCTTCATCCAGGGCTGGGGCCTCACCGAGACGACCGCGTGCGTCCCTCTCTCTCTCTCCCTCTCTCTCTCTCCCTCTCTCTCTCTCCCTCTCTCTCTCTCCCTCTCTCTCTCTGCCTCGCGCCTCGCGCACGTCGCAGTTCCTTACACACTGCCCCCTCCTTTTCCTCCCCTGCTCCTGCCCCGCCGACCAACAGCCTCTCGTGCGTCCTCCCGCCCGATACGTTGACCAGTAGGCAGGCTTGGACGTCCCTATATAAACTTTCCAAGTGATCGGGACTACAACTGCCTCTAGTGCACATGTTGGTGGTAGTAGCAAATATTCAAGTGAGAACCTTCGCTGCATGGTGCGTCACATGTCTGCTCTCGACCGGGCGGCGCTCGACATCGTGGCTGTCTGAGGGGCGGCGGACGACGGGCCG